AACAAAAACACAATGATTTCTATATTCCATTTTTGACAATAGATCCCCATAAATGTTACACACTGGACCTTTAATGGGTCCTTCAGTGCAGTCAGGAGAGAATGTGCGTTCACATTAGGGCTGCAAATGACAGTTATTTTTAATTCAGTCAATTTGTTTGTATTTTTCTTTTAAATAAATTATTTATTCTTTATTCTGTAAAATGTTATCACCAGTAAATCAGACTAATAAATCAATTATCAACTATTTTGTTTATTTTTTTTATTTTTTTTTTATTTTTGGTTTAATTTTATATCGATAAAAGGTTAATCATCTAATTCATGCGATACTACATGGTCACAAGTGTTTCTAACTGCCTCTCTGTGAAACTTGAGTCATCCGAGCCCAGTCCTTCTGCTCAGACTGGCAGCCCACATCTGTTTTCCAGCATATCTAGACTGGACCACATGGAACGTGAGCTTTAATATATATCAGATTTAAAACACATTCATCTGTGGTTTGAAATCTGATTCAAATACATATTCTCAGGGTTTGTCTCTGTCTGCATTTCAAACTGTGTCCTTGTCACTTTCCATTTTTGGTGCACATCCCACTTGTGATGTGCACTCCACTGACATTCCAGTCACCAGTCTGCCACACATTATGCCCAGTTCCAGACCTATCTGACTCTGCAGCAGTCAGCGTTTTGCCCGAGGTGACAACGACACACAAGTCGTCTGGGAGTGTTTGTTCTGCTGCGAGGGGGAGGAGAGTTCAGCTGAGTCAGCAGAGGGAGGGCCTGGGGGGAGAGCTTCATTTAGCTCTGTTATCTTTTTATAATATGTTACCTTGTTTTATCTTTACAGCCTTGGATCTTTTAAATAGCATCCACAAACTAACAATGTTGAATCTGCAGTGTCTGACTTCTTAGCTCAAGCTGAACAGCAGTCAGCACCTCGCAGCCCCTCACAGCAGATGGAAGGTTTTATATTTTGGCTCAGCCATGAACAGGCTTGGCACCCCGCCTAGTCTCATTAAGATATTTTCAATTAAAGCCAGTCAGTGAGTGAAGAATCACTGCAGGGAAAGACACACTGCAAACACCACAGTCAGCTTTGATTCCCTCACAGAAAGGACTCTGGAAACTGATTAACTATTAACTCAAATGAGCCTTTAATCACGATCTTGCTGCTGAATTACTTACTGATCATGGTGGTGCCTCCAGCCAGTGCAGCCTTGGTGCCCTGGTAGAAGTCATCGGCGGACGTCATGCCTCGATCAGGCATCTGGAAACGTGTGTGCACGTCGATGCCGCCCGGCATTAACATGCGCCCGTGGGCATCGATGGTTTTTACCCCGCCAGGTACGATGAGATTTTCCCCAATTTGTCTGCAGAAGAACGTAAGAAGTGACAAAACAGTGTGTAAGAAGATGAATATAGATTACACGGATTAAATTAAATACTTTGCATGTGTTATTTAATGAAACCTTATCACGCAGACATCACAATACTATAGCAATGATAAAAATATATGTCAAAAAACAAACTAAGAGGCTGTACTGTGTTAAATTAACATTAATTTATTTTTAACTTAACCAGGAATAATCATTTCAGGCATATATATCTTATAATTGGTATATTCTAAAACTGTACAAATCATCCAAAAATCTTAACTTGGAAGTGTCCCACACCTTTCAATAACAAATGCTCAAAATACTCAGTATTCCTTTAGTAAGATTTTCCTACAAAACAACATATATAGACTTATACAAAAATAATCCCTCTGAATCATCACTTATGATATACCATCAGTGTGTGTCTGCAGAGACCCTCTGCTTGTTTTTTGTCATTATTTTACTGTGTTCAGGACGTTCCTGGGCGTTAACCTTTAGTCAGCTTGCAGGGTGTGAGGGCGGGACTCTATAAAAACTTAGCGACCAGGTTACATCACTGTCTCCGTCTCTCTCCTCTGCCTCTATGTCTGTTTTGTGGATGTCTTAGAGCTGCAGGTCTGTGTGTCCGTTTGACCGAGAGTGTACGCTTCAGCTGCATTCACACACACAATCCGGCAATGCAGATCCTTGTGCTGAGGTGTGTGGGGGCGAGGCTAAGTTTATTTGTGCTTTAAAACGGAACCGCTATGAAACATTTTTTTTATTTAATTGTCAATGAGCAATCAGAATCAGATCAGAATGGTATGCTGACATTGATATATTAGAAATATGGCATTTATTTTGTCTAATATTGCTTTTGATTCCAAATCGGTTCTGTATTGTAGGAAGGGTTGGCACAATAACTGGTAGCTTCAGTCTATAACTTTTCAGTCTGTAGATAATCCTCCCTCTGTGTGTTAATGTTTGTTTTCCACTGGCGTGCTGTGTTGGAAGTGATTGCCTTCGCTGTTGAGAGGTTTATTCTTGACTTTGGAACAAAACAGTCGAACCTCAGCGTCCATTTATTAAGCCAACATGAAGTCCTTAAAGGGCTCAGAAATGGAAACAAATGGAAGATGATTTCCACAACAACTGGGCAAACTCCCTCTGCTGAGGAAGATCACGTGAGATGATGGAAAGCTCCAGAACAGCTACTAAAAAGACCATAATGTGAGACTTTTTGTTTGTGCACTTACTTAGATGCCTAAACACATTCCAAGTCAATGTAGGCAAACTATTGTATTTTCACTGTTACTCCTTTTTGTATGTTTTATGTTTGTATTGTAATAAAAAGAGAGAAAAATCATACACACTCATAGATTATAACTTTGTAAACATGATGAAATCTGTGTTCTTATTAAACAGTCACCAGTTT